TTTTTGTTTTATTCACAAAGAATCGCGCTATAAAAAAATATTTTTTTTCGACTTCGTCCATCTGTCTTATAATAACAAAAAATTTTACCAAATTCGCTTTTTTCAAGTACCTTCAATACTTAGAACGTGATAATGCTAATCAAGAACATAGGAAAAATTTGAAAAAGTACCAAGCATGAATAATAGTTCAAAATCGATAGGAAGTTCAGAACAGCAAGACGAAACCAAAGAGAGACGGTAAACAGAATTCTTAATTAACGCGAGAGACTGCTATGGCATTTGACGCGTTAACAACAGCCAGGTCGAAGACATGGTCGAGGGTGTCGTAGGTTGGTATGCCTGTTAAGTATGTGGAATTGGGTTTATTACTCGCAGAGGGGCGTGTACTATTTGAGGAACTATTTCAGGAAGCTAAAGGCCGAGGGTCCCCGCGCGTGTATGGACGTTGTTCCATTTGAAAGTCCTACGAGCGTGCAAGAATAGCCGGAATTAGCGACGAATTTGCCGTCACCGAATATCGTGTGAAATTCCCTGCTTCAAATTTGGAGAGGAACGATCGGCGTTCCTGATAAAATTAACCTCATCCTTCAAACACCTTCGAGATTTCGACCTCTCTTTTCTGGTGTTCGTTACCCGTGTTACATTCCGAATTTTGTGGTTTAATTTTGAAATTTTGGGTTTATGGAAATTTGGGAGGACAGCATTAGGAAATTGGGAAATTAGGAAACTGAGAAATTGGGAAAATGGAAAATGGGAATTGGGATATTTGGAAATTAGGAAATTGGAAATTGGAAACTAGAAAATAGGAAAAATTGGGAAATGGGAAATGGGAAAATGGGAAAATGGGAAAATGGGAAAATGGGAAAAAAGGAAAATTGAGAAATTCGATACTAGAAGATGGGAAAATTGATAAATAGGAAAATTGCGAAATTGCGAAATTAGGAAATTGAGAAATTTCGAAATTCAGAAATAGGGAAATTGGAAAATGGGAAAATGGAAAAATGGGAAATTGGGAAATTAGAGAAATTGGATAATTGGAAAATTGGAAAATTGAGAAATTGGATAATTGGGAAATAGGGAAATTGGGAAATTGGAAAATAGGGAAATAGGGAAATTCAGAAATAGGGAAATTGGAAAATGGGAAAATGGAAAAATGGGAAATTGGACAATTGGAAAATTGAGAAATTGGATAATTGGGAAATGGGGAAATTGGAAATTAGGAAATTAGAAAATTGGGAAATTGGGAAATTGGGAAATTAGGAATTAAGGAAATTTTGTAATTGGGAAATTTAGAAATAGAGAAATTAGAAAATGGGGAAATGGGAAATTAGGGAATTGGGAAATTAGAAAATTTTGAAATTGAGAAATTGAGAAATTGGGAAATTGGAAAACTAGAAAGTTGGAAAATTGGGAAATTGAAAAATTACGAAAAGATACTTCTCACAAATTAAATTAATTAACACGAATACCTACCGATACAAATTTAATTTGCTCTCCTCTTCAGATTTGTAATTAAAACGAGTACATAATCCGCAATTAAAAGTTACGAAACATCTTCCGCAGAAAAATTTCCAAGTTTTTTAAAGTCATACTTTTAAAATTGCAAATAATCCTTGTTTGATTTGATAATGTCGGAACTTGTAGGAGAGCTTTATCATATTAATTGGGTCAGTAATATTACAGGTCGTGTGTACACATCAGATGGAAAGTGTTTCGTTTAGGGGGAAAAAAAGAAGGAAGGGAAAATAAAAGAGGATGAGTATCCGTCAGAAGTTACTTTTTTAATTACGATACAAAAGATCTGACAAGCGGTACTTTAATTAAGATTAAAAAGTCGGATAGCACGGATTGCGGTTAACTTTTCTTTCGATTAACCTAGATTCAAGCGGTGCGAGAGGAAAAGAGGGAAAACGAGAGCTACACATTTTTTTCCCTCAAGTGACGTAGTTTTGTTTTATCTCGAATAATAAACTTTTGCTTTTTGATAAGAGGCTGTTTTTCGTGGATTTGTTTAAGTTATTAAATGACCTTAATAGCTGTGCTTCAAGATTGTAATTCACAATGTTATGTTGAGTTATGCTTTATTTAGTTTTTTGGAATTGCGGGACAATTGCGGACGTGATGAATCAGATAATATAGTACTAGCTTACGTAGAAATTACTCTGCCTTTATTGTTTTGTCTCCTGGAAATTTTAATTAAATTTGAAATTATTACGCGGAATTTGAACATTCTTCTCGTGATAAATATTTTGAGGTAGTTTCGTTTTAGGAAGTGGAATAAATGAATGCAGAAAATGGTTATTTTAGAGCTTAATTCTGTATGTGTAATTATTCACATGTGTATATGTGTTATGTACTGTATGTTGTTTACATATGTGTATAATAGAATATAATTATATACATATGTTTATTTCGTAATATAATATCATTCTGAATTTTTTTATTTGTCAAGTTTCTGGAAATTTAAAATTTTACAAATTTCCAAAAACTCAAAGTATTTCAAAAATTCTAAAAATTTTAGAGAATTTCCAAATTTCCAAAAACATCAACTATTTGAAAAATTTCAAACTACAAATTTTTCAGAAGTGTCAAAAATTTCAAGTTTTTAAAATTCTAATAATTCCAAGAACTTCCGAAATTCCTAGAACTTCAAATAATACTAAAATTTCAAATAGTTCTAAATTTGTGAGAACCCAATCCTGCAAACTCTATAAACGTAAGTTTTCCAACAAAAAGCCGTGCTGAACCGACGTTTCCTCACATCGCCATTTTCCCTAGGGAAGTTTTTCTCCGCGCCGTTCACGAGTGTCTACCGTATTTCTCCGAAGTATCGAAATTCTACACGGGCCTGATTCGCGAGAAAATCGGTAAATTTTACGGTTGAAGTATCAGCGATCGCTGAGTCGACAGTTTATCCTTTCTTCTTGTTCCATTAGGAAAACGGAAGTTTCCGGGCTGGGTCGAGGAAAGTTCCTTTACGGTTTTCCACGTTCGAAGCCGAGGGAAATTTCCTCGTGGACGAGAGTCGATCGCGACTTATTCGCGTCGTCGTCTCGAAAGCTGGCTCGAAGCGAGTTGTAGCGAACCGGATGAAAGTAACGGCGAAACGAAAAGTGGAAAAAGAACTTTTCCGATAATGGAGCCGAGAATCGCGCCGCGTGTTCGCCGCAGCTGCATTGGAAATTAATTTCGACTTAACGACGCGTTCCCCCGCGCCCCGGATTCGAATACGATTCTCTAGACGGGTTCACGCTGTGTTATGACTTTCTGATGCGTCCGCGTACTTTCAGCAAAGCGACAAATCGAACCTGCGAGCTTATTTGCACCAACTTCAACTACCTTATCGATAACTTGTAGGTTAGTCAAGCGGGAATTTCGTGTCTTGCAAATTCCGCGAATGTTTCACACGACTTTTTTTATGAAGAAATTTGGAGAATAGGAAGAACTTGTATATTTTTATATTGCATTTTATAGCGTGATGAAGAAGTGGGAGATTTTTATATTGTACTTTATGTGGAAATACATGAATGTACATATATGAATCTGGAAAGTAATGTTAAAGCAAAGGGTAGAAATACAAGATATTAACGTGTAATCACAATGTTATAACTACTAGTGTATCATGTTTAATTGTATAATTACAATTTGCACAAGCCTTTTAATTTTACAAAAAACGTGCATTTTATAGTGTGATGAAGAAGTGGGAGATTTTTATATTGTGCTTTATGTGGAAATATATGAATGTACATATATGAATCTAGAAAGCAAAGGGTAGAAATACAAGATATTATCATGTATTAACAGTGTTATAACTACTTATGTATCGTGTGTAATTATATAATTACAATTTGAACAAGCCTATTTATTTGACAAAAAACTTGCAAAATACTGAAATACTTGAAAATAGCAAAATACTGAAATACTTGAAAATAGTAAAATACTGAAATACTTGAAAATAGCAAAATATGAAATACCTGAAAATAGCAAAATACTGAAATACTTGAAAATAGTAAAATACTCAAATACTTGAGAATCGAAAAATACTGAAATACTTGAAAATAGCAAAATACTGAAATACTTGAAAATCGAAAAATACTGAAATACTTGAAAATAGTAAAATACTCAAATACTTGAGAATCGAAAAATACTGAAATACTTGAAAATAGTAAAATACTCAAATACTTGAGAATCGAAAAATACTGAAATACTTGAAAATAGTAAAATACTCAAATACTTGAGAATCGAAAAATACTGAAATACTTGAAAATAGTAAAATACTCAAATACTTGAGAATCGAAAAATACTGAAATACTTGAAAATAGTAAAATACTCAAATACTTGAGAATCGAAAAATACTGAAATACTTGAAAATAGCAAAATACTGAAATACTTGAAAATAGCAAAATACTGAAATACTTGAAAATAGTAAAATACTGAAATACTTGAGAATAGAAAAATACTGAAATACTTGGCAATAGCAAAATACTGAAATACTTGAAAATAGCAAAATATGAAATACTTTGAAAATAGCAAAATACTGAAATACTTGAAAATAGCAAAATACTGAAATACTTGAAAATAGCAAAATACTGAAATACTTGAAAATAGCAAAATACTGAAATACTTGAAAATAGCAAAATACTGAAATACTTGAAAATAGCAAAATACTGAAATACTTGAAAATAGCAAAATACTGAAATACTTGAAAATAGCAAAATACTGAAATACTTGAAAATAGCAAAATACTGAAATACTTGAAAATAGCAAAATACTGAAATACTTGAAAATAGCAAAATACTGAAATACTTGAAAATAGCAAAATACTGAAATACTTGAAAATAGCAAAATACTGAAATACTTGAAAATAGCAAAATATGAAATACTTGAAAATAGCAAAATACGGAAAATTGATAGTGATCCTAATTAAATGAAGTGTACAACAAAAATCTACAGTGCAATACAACAGTACCAACCTTGACACATCGAATTTCTGTCGACAGGTCTGCGGAAAGGTGTTCAACAACGCATCGGCGCTCACGAAGCACAAGCTGACGCACAGCGACGAGAGGAAATACGTGTGCACGATGTGCGGCAAGGCGTTCAAGCGGCAGGACCACTTGTGAGTATAGATCCAGCCCCTTTTACGCGTCGATTACCCGAAAACGCCCTCGTCACGTTACGAATTTCGTCTTTCGTCGGCAATTACCGAAAACCCGTTAAATTCCCGTTTTTAAACGTCTCGTGTCCCCTTTCGTCGAGCGGAACCGAGTGTGCCAAGCTTTTTCGTTCGTGAAAACCACTCGACGTTCGCCGCCGGCATCAAACATCGGCCTCGAGGCTTCTTATACCTCCTCCATTGCATAATATTATGCAACAGTTATATCGCTACTTTGTGCGAGAGAATTGTTTCTTCCGGAGGATGAATTCAGAGAGCATCTTGCGGGAGCTCGAATTTCGAGGGTGTGCTTTTGTTGCGTATCTATTATACTTTACTGGGGATAATGCTTTTGTGTACCTCTTGAGTTTCGAACCTTTTTGTTTGAATTTGTGAAATCATTATGTATTGAGTCAGAGTGAATTTTAAAGCCTTGGAACAATTTTTAATACTTGAATTAACTTGTTAGAATAACTTGTAAATTATCTTCTTACTAATTTATGAAATAATTGCATATTAAGAGGGATGATTGTAAGCAGGGTGAATTTTTGAGCCTATTGGGACAATTTTTAATACTTCACTTAAATTTACTTGTTAGAGTTACTTGTTGTAAATTATCTTTTTACTAATTTATGAAATAATTGCATATTAAGAGGGATGATTGTAAGCAAGGTAAATTTTGGAGCCTATTGGGACAATTTTTAAAACTTCGCTTAAATTAATTTGTTAAAATAACTTCTTATAAATTATCTTCTTACTAATTTGTGAAATAATTGCATGTTAAGAGGGGTGATTGTAAGCAGAGTGAATTTTGAAGTCTGTTGAAACAAAATTTTAATATTATGCTTAAATTAATTTGTTAGAAAGTAACTTCTTAAAAATTGTCATTTTACAAAGTAATTTGTCAGGAATAATACAAGTGATGAAATAAGTAAAATCAAGTTTAAACAAGTTATTAAAAAATGTTATAACATGGAGCAAACTCTACTTCATTTCAAAACAAGATAACTTTTCATCACATAAAAGTATCTTATTTTATATCGATTTTTAACATAAATTTTCTTGAAAACAATTATATATTTTTTAAAAATAATAATTCTTTATTAATAATTGAAGATATGCAGTAGAAAAAGGAGGTAGTGTTTCCGTAAACGTAAAATACAGAAGAAAAATGAGCTATCAGAATGTCAAGGGTGAGAATCGAAGATTCAATTTCCCTCAATTCTTTTCGAGAAGCGAGAAGAGTGAATCGGTAGTGGCAGCGATAGGTTAGATAGTGTTGGTTAGACTTGTTGGCCGGTCAAGAAAGAGGTTGAGCTTGTATTTCCTTTTCGAAGAGGAATCTACAAATCCTCTCTCCTCTTTTTCTTCGACGTATCCTCTTATTCTGGATTCGCCACGTAACTTGGCTACATCTCGAAGAGGCAGCAGTTCTCCTTTTCCATGGGTTTCCCTGCCTTTCTTGTCACGTTCGATTCTACTTCGTGGTATCGCTTGCGATTCGTTACATGTTTTGTTAGAAATTTATCAGCATTGCGTGAAAATGTGGGTTTTCATTTTTTTTTTATTGATATATCACGTGTTATGTGTGTGCGTGTGAAGTGTAATTCATGTGTTGAAACGGTAGGAGATATGTTTATATGCGTTGTAGGCATTTTATAGTCATTTTATGATTTAGGCTATTTTTTGTTTTCATGTGTTGTATTTCCATTTGTTCCATCGGTAGATTCCTCTGTCTTTATGTGGATTCATTTATTAGGTGGATTTGTGAGTCATTGGAATTGAGAGATTTTTTGGTCATTAAGTTCCTAGATATCTGGACCCTTAGATTTGTAGATTTCTAGATTTCTAGATTTCTAGATTTCTAGATTTCTAGATTTCTAGATTTCTAGATTTCTAAATTTCTAGATTTCTAAATCCCTAGGGTTTAATATCTCTAGATTCATATATTTCTAGACAACAGATTTGCTGATTTATGTATCCCTTGACACCTATATCTCTATATCCATGTATGTCTGAATCCCTATATCTCTACACATACCATATTTTACCTGGTACATTCCCACATTCCTAAACCCCTATTGAGTCCCCTATATCCCTAGATCCCTACATCCTTGAATTTCCAAATCCTCAAATCCCGAGAATCCCCAGATCTCTACATCCTCCAACACCCTGTAATATAGAGTACACCCAACATCCTATACGTCCACATATCATAATAGTTTTAAAAGCGACATTGATTTCGCGATAATTTTGCAACTATTCCTCGCCAGCATGTTCTATCAGCCTTTAGAGAGCTTCCTACGCTCTATCGAACGACAAGCTCGAAAATTCGTCTTTGTGCTCGTATCGAAATTGCCGCAATCCTCTTTTGTGCCTCGTTCCCTCCGCTACGTGCAGCGGATTCGCATCGACCGGACAGTATTTTTCTTTTCCTCGACCTTTCCTCTACGTCGCCTTCGTTTTATATACGTATTTCATTCGATAGGGTCGCTCGACACTATGTTCAATGCGAGCTGACGAACAGCCCGAAGAATTACTTTCGTTTCATCTCTGCTCCCGAGCTTTTTCTTTCTTCCCTACCCCCCTACTCTTTCTTACAAATTCATTCTCGCCGACCCGTATTTTTTTTTCCTCTTTTGTTCCTTTTCAAGGTTTGTCATTCGCTCTTCCTCTCGATCGAAAGCTTTTTAAATCTACTTAAATGAAATTTGTTTCTTCCTTTTTTTACTCTCAATGTACTGCCAAGAATGAAACCATCGTTCGGTTTCTAAATAGTTTGCAGCTGCACAAATTTTCTATTGTACATGCAGAAAGTTTTTAATCAGGTTCCATGCTGACTGTCTTGTTATAACTTCTTTCAGGGATATTGTTCCTTTTGACTGCACGAGATTTATTTTCCTGTTTTACTAGTATGACATAAATGTACTATTTTAATTAATTAATTAAAATTTTACAAAGTTCAATTTTAGAAAATTCAATTTTAGAATTATAATTTTAATAATTTAATTTTACTGGTTTTCACAAAGATGAATACATTTTATTTGCAAAAAAAATTCTAAGTTTATTATTTTATTTTACTGAATGTCATGATCTTTATTGCAGTTTTTTGTCATTAGAATTATATCAGTACTAAAAAATAATTTTACTGTTGCTATTTTTAAACACAAGCAAATGTAACATCTGAAGAAAACTGCAACAATACTTCTTCCTAGACATCTTCATGTACCTATAACACTAATCATACAATTTCCACAAGCTGCAAGAGCTGCAACAAGTAATTCCAATTTTCCAAAAGTTCTAACGTAACAAATCACAGAAAGAAAGTTAAAGAAACTGATTTGTATCAATCGAATCCAAAAGTATCATTTACGGTCCTAAATCAAAGTAGAGCGTCCGAAATAAATCCGTTTTGAAGGAACAACAGTATAAAATAAGAAATCCGCATGATTTGTACGTGTTACGGTTCACAAACATTGTAGAACATTGTTCCACAACCGATGCGGTCATTCCATTTGGCTTGGGTCCATAAAATTTCTCGGTCGGTTACTTGGAAACTCGTTTTCAAGAAAGCATATGCCGGGATTCGAGTAAACGATGTGGACGACTTTATCCGATCAGCGAAAAAGTCCTTGGCCTGTTTCCTGTTTTTATTGAAATCCTTTTAACCTCGGATACCTCGATGGAGACGGGACTTAAGTACCTAACTCTGTACGTAGCCGTGGATCGGAGTCGTAAAGAATTGTGTTTTCTCTACCCCGAATCCTTTTAAACTTCGCCACGGTATTGCGACCTCGCAATTTCAACTTAAGAAAAGCGAGAACTGAGCTGTGCTGTACAATAACGTTACCGAATCGCGTTCCATGCTGATACCGCGTCCCATTAATCCTATCGATTAACTTGTAAGGTAAGGAACGTCTTATTTTATGGCTTGTTTCGGGGAGCTGGGGAGAGTGGCTTCTGATCCACTGGAGGATACTGAGATTATTTTGCGAGGAGTTGTGTTGGACGTTAGTAAATATGGAAGAGATAGTTACAAGTTAGAAAGTGGAAGAGGATAATAAGAATAGTAAGAGCAATAAGAATAGTAAGACTGATAAGAGCAGTAAGAGTAGCACGAGTCATAAGCAAGAGTAATAAGAGTAGCAAGAAATGTAAGTGCAGTACGTGTAGTAAAAATAATAGGATTAGAAAACCAGTACAAATGGTAATGTAGAAGAGAGTAGTAAGAGCAGCAAGAGTAGTAAGTAAGAGTAATAAGAGTTGTAAGTGATGTAAAGGTAGTAAATCTAGCAAAAATTATAGGATCCTCAAACTAGTAAGAAAAGTGAAATAGAAGAGAGTAGTAAGAGTTATAAGAGTAGTAAGAGTAGCAAGAGCAATAAGTAAGAGTAATAAGAGTAATAAAAACAGTAAAAGTAATAGGAGTGAAAAGAGTAGTAAGAGTAATAAGCAAGAGTAATAAGAGTAGCAAGAAATGTAAGTGCAGTAAGTGTAGTAAAAATAATAAGATTAGTAAACCAGTACAGATAGTAATGTAGAAGAGAGTAGTAAGAGCAGCAAGAGTAGTAAGTAAGAGTAATAAGAGTAGTGAGTGAAGTAAGGGTAGTAAATGTAGCAAAAATTATGGGATCCTCAAACTAGTAAAGATAGTGAAGTAGAAGAGAGTAGTAAGAGTAATAAGAATAGTAAGTAAGAGTAATAAGAGTAGTAAGAGTAGCAAGAACAATAAGTAAGAGTAATAAGAGTAATAAAAGTAATAAGAGTAATAAAAACAGTAAGAGTAGTAAGAGTAATAAGAATAGTACGTAAGAGTAATAACAGTAGTAAGAGTAACAACAGCAATAAGTAAGAGTAATAAGATTAATAAAAGTAATAAGAGTAATAAAAACAGTAAGAGTAGTAAGAGTAATAAGAATAGTACGTAAGAGTAATAACAGTAGTAAGAGTAACAAGAGCAATAT